CAAGGGGGTGGATTTCCCCCTTGCTGTTCTCCTGATAGTGAGTTCTCACAAGATCTGGTTGTTTAAAAGTGTGTAGCATCTCCCACTTCTCTCTTTTCCTCCTTCTCTGGCCATGTAAGACGTGCCTGCTTCCCCTTCACTTTCTGAATGACTCTAAGTTTCCCAAGGCCTCTGCAGAACTGTGAGCCTATGAAAACTTTTTTCTTTATAAATTACCCAGCCTCAGGTTGTTCTTTATAGCAATACGAGAATGAGCTAATACACTTTGTAGCTCTATTACTGATTAACATGGCATATGTTGTCCTCACTTGTGATCAAGAGATTCTTGTGTCTGGCAACATAATGAATGAACTCTACTCATACTTAATGAGTTCTATGTGTATTATAAATATACATAAGAGTACCAGAATTAAAATTCCTTTGTCCCATCAATTGACTTATCTGACATAAAGTAATAGCTATAGCAATCGTTAGATATTTAAGACACATATCAATGAATTTTTGTGCATGTGAGTAAAGTTACATATGAAATATTTTGCTAACAGGTATTGACATTGAGAAAAATTGTGAGTAGGTGTAAATAAACCACATCAGAATGGTTGCTCAAGGAAGTTTGTTTTGTGTAATAAATTTCCCTGACAGAAATATAGTCATCTGAATATATTCCATTGATTTTAAGTGTTTACCTAAATGCTATATGAGTTCTGTAAGCACCTATTTTTTATGGTGATGGGTTGGTTGTTGGTTTCACAATGAAATGCATGTTAAAAACACCAACCCAGCATCTTTTCCTCTCCTTCACCTGTTTCTCACTTTATTCAAACCTATATACAGAAATATGGTTCATTAATCAAAAGCAACATTAGCATTAACCTCTTCTTTTAACCCTTCATAGCCACTGCCAGTGTTATCAACATATAATTTTTTTTTCTAGCTGCATTGTAGAAAAAAGTTTAGTTAGATAACCATAGTAAGCCTAGAGAGGCATGTTTCTATAAACCTGGAGGCTTCCTTTCTCTGCCCATTTCTCTGTGAATTAAAATCATGCTCAATAAGATTGCTTTTGGAATGTGAGATTTGCCTTGAAATAGTACAGATGAGAGCAGAACTTTAGTAAAGATGATAAATATAGAATCATAATATTTTTCCTGATGTTGAAATATGTTTGACATGCCATCACAGTATTTTGTGTGCTAGTGGAAAGCACTAAAATATTATAAATACAAGGCTAGTTATCACAAAAATTTAACATGAAGCTTCAAAGTTTTATTCCTAAAAATTGGTCAGACAAGCATAAAATCTCTCAGCCTCACTAATGATGTGGAAAGAATTAGTGATGTGTGATTAGAGTATTAATTATTCACCAGCTAATGGCCAGAGAGATGAATTGTGAGACTTTTCACACCTTATTTAATGAATTATATGTGGACATCATACCATTCAATATTAAAATATGAAAGATTTGTGAGGAAAGTGATATACACATGGTCTCCACATTTCATCTGCAGAGTACTTATTAATTTCCAAAAGAGAAATTTCCAGCATCGGAAAATTGGTAGGATTAGTTGCCTTCAGGGGCTGGCAGTGGGGTGGAGTTGCAAATAGAGAGTGACTGTTAAGGGGTAGAGAGTTTGTGAGAAGTGGAAAAGTTCCTCTTTAAAGTTTCCTTTCTTGTTAAAGAATAAATCATAAGTGTGCTAATAACTGTTAAGCCCTATCCTATGTAGCTGTTAGACATGCCATGCTTACAAGTAAGTGGTACATTCTATGTCCTTGTACTTTAACCAAGATATCTGTGCTGGGCATGCTCATAAGCATGTCCCAGCTCTCCATTGCTTTTACCTGTTTAGAAAAGTTTTAAGTTGTTGGCCAATAGGGTTTTAGTTTAGATTGTGAGGTCTGACTCCAGTCAATGGAGAAGAGACACAGTAGTAAGGATGACCCCAAATGTGTAAGGAATAAATGTTTCTGCTTTCCTTTGTTTGTTGTGCTGTCATGACAGTTTGGCTAGTGAGAGTACCCTTCCTGCAGTCCAGGAAGTAAAATTGTGTTGTTGAAAAATCCTTTGTCTCAATGCTGATTTTTCTTTGCGGCACTGAGCATCTGTTTCCAACAGTTTCATTTAAGGATGATGAAAATTTTCTAAATTTTCTAGATAGTGGTGATAGTTTCACAACTCTCTGATTATGTTTTTAAAAAATACTGAATTGTACATCTTTAAAAGATGAATTTTATGGAATGTAAATAACATTTCTAATGCTGCCGTAAAAAGAAATGAAGACATCTAGTGGATGCAACCACAACCAAATGACCAAACACAGTATCACTAATAATGGGAAACACGGCCACAAATAGTGCAAGCCCATTGACATCACTTTCATTAATATTCACATCATAGCTTCAACACTCTTATTACCAGGAATATTCATTCTGTTTTTTACTCAGTAGAACTATTCTAAATCACACATGCCTGAAGATAGTTATTTAAATCTTACCATGGAATTGAAACTCATAATATCGAAGGGCCTTTTCATCTCACTGTTACTGTAATACTCAGTCTTTTTTAGAATAATTCCTCTGTCAGTAACCATTTCTGTCTGTATGCATTGGCAGAGAGAATTCATAAATATTACCATTGTTCCCTGATTAAGTAACACAAATTGCTCTATTTCCCCAGAAATATTTTATTAAAATGTAGAGTATTGGTACTACCAGCTGTATGTCACTTTTTCTGTTTTAATATATTTTAATACTAATGTCAAAGAGTGAAGTATCCGTATTCCCATGCCATATTACTTGTATAATTTCTGTATTATATCCTCTATGAAAAGAATGTGGTCAAGTCAATTTTGTATATATTGACTATTTTTTACCGTAAGGAACATCTGAGATAAAATGTTATCTTCAGCAAACT